GAATGTTACATAAAAATAAACATAAATATTATGTACAAACAATAACTGTGAACCAATAATTATTGGTTGTTCCGCTACATTTTTACTTGTTTAAGCTGTGCATCAGAAAAAGTATATGGCTATAATATATTATATTGTCTATGATAATCGTTATAGTTCAATGAAAATTTCATTAAGGTCTTTTTTATAAAAAAAACCTTGTTGAATAATGTAAATTGTTTAAATTCATAATATTAGAACTAAAATTAATTAAGAAAGAAACCCAAAAAACATCATTAATGCCTTGTGGTTTATATTACTCATTTTTTAAATTATAGTTATTTGATCTGTAAATATACATAACTGTATAATTATATTTTTCAATTCTTAATTAAATACAAAAAAAAACCTAATCATAAAGTAAAAGATTAAATTTATGGAAATTTTAAAAGATTATAAGTAATAAATATTTTTAGAAAAAACATACCTACAATTTTTTTTAACATGTACAAAACAACATAAGTAGGTATAGTGGATATGATTTTGTAAAAGTTCCCATAGCCTATTATACAGCTTAATATTTTATTACAGCTGTTTATTATATTAGCAGTTATTTTATACGTTCTATTGAAGTATTTTGTTTTTGTTCATTAAGTAATCTTTTAATTGAACTTATTTCCCTTCCCCATAAATACTGTGCAACCCCACTCCTTCCCAGCTACAAAACTGAAACCCGTTTACTTATTACAAGTAGTAATGTAATTATATGGATTTTCCAATAATGTTCACCATGTTTAATTTGCTGTCTGGGTATGATTTATCATAATTATGGTTGTATGGTATAATTCATCTTTTTTTTTTGTGAATTTTTCCTTTAATAGATTTGTCAGTGCTACGCGGTTTACCTACTGCGAAATTCGTTAACGGTACGTGTCAGACTCATTTTTTTGTATTTTTTATTACTTTTTAACAAGTGTTCACTGAAAAACAAACGACGACAACGCCTACATAGCCAAGAGCTCAATACATCTGCTGAGTAAGCACACATGCTGTTCGATTGCAAAAACACCGAAGTGGCTTCTTCGTTTTATTGACTTAGTCGTTTCGCGAATTCGGCCGCGTTCTATGGCCTAAGTACAAAAATACAAAAAAATGAGTCTGACACGTAGACTCATTTTTTTGTATTTTTTATTACTTTTTAACAAGTGTTCACTGAAAAACAAACGACGACAACGCCTACATAGCCAAGAGCTCAATACATCTGCTGAGTAAGCACACATGCTGTTCGATTGCAAAAACACCGAAGTGGCTTCTTCGTTTTATTGACTTAGTCGTTTCGCGAATTCGGATGCGTTGTATGGCTTAAGTTCGAGCTTAAATTTATTCATTGCTGCCTACAGTTCTAGTCGTGCAGACCTAGTGGAATATCCGTCTTTCAAAAATGCACAACATCTCTAAGGGAATGGTAGTGGTGGCCGTGGTCGCCTGGTGCTCATTTGCCGGTCAGTGTTCGTTTATAGAGAGGTTCATGAAGAACAACGCCACAGGCAAAGAGACCCTGAAGAAGTTGACCAGCGTGGACCAAGCATTTATGAGATTGGAAATGAGAGCCGGCACCGTGTACGATTACTTGACAGGCTCGCCCCAGTGCAATGACGAAACTGTCTATCACGGAACGAGTTGTCTTTTGCTAGTACACCGTTTCGTTATTGACAAGCAAACCCTGGGCAGTGTGTTGGCACACTTGGAGGCCTATCCGGAACTACCGCCGGACCAAGACGACCCGTACTCTTATGAAGCCGTCGTCAGGGCGTTGAATGTGGTGGAAAGCGTGGGCGTGACGATTATGTGTCGTTTCGCCCACTTGAGCCAGACGATGTTGGCCAAACCGTCATACTCGCCCTGTGAACATTTCCAACTGTTGAAGCAAGTGTTGTACGCTATCCACTGCAAGTTCGAAGAGCACCATATACCCTTGACGCCCGTGGAAAATCTCATTGCAATTTTCGACAACTACTGTAGAGTAAAAAATCCGGACATTAATTACAACAACGCTATCAAAGAAATATTCAAAACCTTCTTGGTAAATTTCGGTCATCTGTCGGGATTCACAGACCTGAGCAAATACGAATCGGGCGGCTACAACAACGAAGCTCCTACCTTGGGGCCACTACTGAAGCAGAATATGGGCCACGCCTTGTTTTTCTTCGAGCAACCCCAAAGCAGCAACGCACCACCCGGCAGCAGTATGCAGGGATAGCCATTAATATAATGGTAAATAAAAAAAAAAACGTATACAACAGATTAGGGCATGTCTTAATTTGTATATTTCACCCATTTGTATATGTGAATTATAAATAAAATTTTAAAAAAGGAACCAATTTTTTGTTTTTTTCCCGGCAACGTACCGGTGAATTTATTTTTTTAAATTTATAAATCTTGGAAAATTGTTTACAAAATCATATCCACTATACCTACGTAAGTTGTTTTGTACTTAGGCCATACAACGCGGCCGAATTCGCGAAACGACTAAGTCAATAAAACGAAGAAGCCACTTCGCTGTTTTTGCAATCGAACAGCATGTGTGCTTACTCAGCAGATGTATTGAGCTCTTGGCTATGTAGAGCGTTGTCGTCGTTTGTTTTTCAGTGAACACTTGTTAAAAAGTAATAAAAAATACAAAAAAATGAGTCTGACACGTACCGTTAACGAATTTCGCAATAGGTAAACCGCGTAGCACTGACAAATTTATTAAAGGAAAAATTCACAAAAGAAAAAGATGAATTATACCATACAACCATAAATATGATAAATCATACCCAGACAGCAAATTAAACATGGTGAACATTATTGGAAAATCCGTATAATTACAATACTACTTGTAATAAGTAAACGGGTTTCAGTTTTGTAGCTAGGAGGGGGTGGGGTTGCACAGAATTTATGGAGAAGGGAAATAAGTTCAGTTAAAAGATTACTTAATGAACAAAAACAAAATACTTCATTAGAACGTATAAAATAACTGTTAATATAATTAACAGCTGTAATAAAATATTAAGTTGTATTATAGGCTATGGGAACTTTTACCAAATCATATCCACTATACATACATATGTTGTTTTGTACATGTTCATAAAAATTATAGGTATGTTTTTTCTAAAAATATTTATTACTTAATTTCCTTTAAAATTTCCATAAATTTAATCTTTTACTTTATGACTAGGTTTTTTTTTGTATTTAATTAAGAATTGAAAATATAATTATACAGTTATGTATATTTACAGATCAAATTACTATAATTTAAAAAATGAGTAATATAAACCACAAGGCATTAATGATGTTTTTTGGGTTTCTTTCTTAATTAATTTTAGTTCTAATATTATGAATTTAAACAATTTACATTATTCAACAAGGTTTTTTTTATAAAAAAGACCTTAATGAAATTTTCATTGAACTATAACGATTATCATAGACAATATAATATATTATAGCCATATACTTTTTCTGGTGCACAGCTTAAACAAGTAAAAATGTAGCGGAACAACCAATAATTATTGGTTCACAGTTATTGTTTGTACATAATATTTATGTTTATTTTTATGTAACATTCCAAGTAAAAAACAAAACGTTTTTCCACTTTACTTAGTACTTATATCAACAAAGTCCTAACACAAAAAAATTGTTAACTTTATATCGTATTAAACATGTGTTATAACATTGAAGTCATTTTTACACAACGTAGCCAATTTTAGTTTTGCCCTTATGGACAAAAATTCTATTGTTATGAAAAGCTCAAGATGGTACCATATCTTTTATAAGAAAGAAGCTATATAACATTAAGTTGAGAAATTTGTAAAATTTTTGGCGTTGATTTTAAAGGAGAAGGGGTAATTTTTTTTTATATTTTGGCCTAAAAAAGTACCCTTCAGGTATAATATTTTGGTTATAGAGTTGAGAAATCGGTCCAGTGAGGTTTAACCCTTTAAAGCCTCATGTAACAATTCTCTAACAAACCTGGAAAAACCCGCCAGACGACGCCCTAAGTATAATATTTGGTTCATTCAAATCGAAGTAACCCACTTTTGAACAAATTGGTATGTACGTTAAATCCTAGATGGCGTAACATATGGACTTATGTCACTATTTATTATTCGAGTTATTTGGCTAGTTTACTATTTTTTAAATATAACACCAGAACTAATACCCAATTTGTTTTACATAAAAAATTGCAAAAAATCAAAAACTTGTTGCCTACATACAACCTAGTTAAGTTGCCAAAGGACTCGTATGTCTTTTTAGAATTGAAATCGGATAATCCTAAGTAGTCGAAATTTTGTCTGGCTTTTTTAGTCTAAAACGTCAAAAAACAGACCTCATGCAATCCTTAAGATTCAATACTTGTACCTTTTTGCCGGTAAATTTGTGGATAATCTCAATTATCTTAATATATCATTGTAGGGTGAAAACCAAAAATGATTCACATAGGTGTTTTTTTCATCAATTTAGAAAATCGTCAAGAAGTCGGGTGGACTATGAAATTCAAAAGACCCTGTATTAGTCGATGTTAGGTGTACAATATTATAATGCAAGCTCAATATGTAAGCAAGTTATAGCAATAGCCTTTACATTTGAAATATTGATAAACAAACATTTATATTTCATTTTACATATATCAATTAGAAATGAATTGCTCTGACTAGTTATACTTACATAGAATTCACCAATTACATTTGAATTTATTGGGTAGTCAAAAAATGGTAATGAATTAAACTTAACTACTTCTAAATATACATTTCCAACAGCCTTTTTAATAATGTCATTACTTTCTGACAAAAAAACATATCTTTATCATTAACAGTACTTAATACTTATATTCCATTTTTCTAATTGTATGTGTTCGTATTGGGTATCACTAGGATCTTGGTACAACAAAGGGTCATAAGTTATTTCTTTTTAAAAATTGGGTATTCAACAAAAGAATTACTTTCAATATTATTTTGTTCTACAATTCTATTATATACATCTTAAAGAGGAAATCTTGCATTTTTTAAAGTATTTTTAATATTTTGTAAATAATTTTCAAATTTGAAAGCGCTAAATGTGTCCAATGAACCATGTATTTTAACAAAATGAGATACATGAATTAACCCATGAACGTTGTATGTGATGTATTCCTCACCATAACGTTCTGCATATTCTATCACAAACTGTCTTAGTAAAGTATTGGCCAACTCATTATAAGTAATACATGTTTCGTTGGACACGAGTAGTCGAATTGCACAATGCAACAACATAAAATGTTTATAAAATGTCTTTTGTAATTTCCCCTTTAAAACAATAGGGCCTGAATACAGCAAAAAGGAACGGAATTCTACCGCCTTCCAATACTCGAGTTCTTCTAAAGAACGAGGTAGTCTGTTAAATTCTTTGGGGAAATATGATTTTAAATGTTCGAGTTCTGAAGATATTTCATTCGTTACATTATCATTAATTAAACGGACGGACTTTTTGCCCTTTTTCCAAAATGATATTAATCGTTTCATGACACCAAGGCATACATCATGCATGTATTCTAAAACCACGCAATCTGTAATATTTAAATCATGAAACAATTCTAATCGACTAAGGCCTTTATGATAATCTTCGTCTGTTTTAGAACGGAATGACACATTCGTACGCAATGAGGCATTAATACCTAAATATGACATACGATTATTTATAAAAGTGCCTTCTTCAACACATGAATTACAACTATGATAAGCATTATGTTGTTTAACATTAAGTATAAAGACCTTAGCAGGACTATCACAAATAACTTGGCTAATATTAAAATGGAATACTTTGTCTTTAATACTTATACCATTAGTCATTATTAACTGCATTTCAGAAATAAACGGATTTAAAAATTTAAATACTGAAGTAGGTTTTCTATGTTTACCATGGTATATTCCAACACATAAACATTTTTGTGCCAAAAGTGGGACATTAACAAATGAAATTAAAATAGGCCAAAAATTTGATTTTGAACTATTTGTTAAAGGGAGACCATCAATGTTTTAAGGCTTAATTTAAATAAAGAAATATTATTTAACTTGTCGTAATACTCTTTTAAGATAGGTGTTATCAAAAATTCAATGCCAATATGAATGTATGATCCAGGATGTATATTAATAATTTCATGAGATTGAGGAGTCTTTAAGAGAGTTCTTACATCTTCAGGCAATTTGAGACCTTCACATCTTAATATAATCAAAAGTTCATTTACAAAATTATGAGAAACATGGTATTTGGATATTAATAATCTCAATTTATCTTCTAATGAAATATTATTTTTACTGTTTAAGGAACTAGACGAACACATACATGAAGTATTAAAATTAAAAAGAGGCTCATCAGAAGTTACATTGGGTAGACTTGGATGTTCAAAATCTGGAAGTGTAGTTAAATTATTGAAAATAATATTATGACCATCAGACATTTTAGGTGTAGACTCTATGACTTGGATAGTTTCCTGAATATCATGGAATCTTGTTTTAGGTACTACCACTTCTTTGGCTGGTAAAATTGAGCGCTTTTCAATTATTACCCGTTCAAATTGTCTTCTTGACATTGATCACAATGATTTCCTTTTCTTTAACTGCAATCAATTTGATTTTTTTTTTACATTAAGGCGGATATCAAAATATGATTATAAAAACAAAATTTTAACAGGTTTTCTCTCATCACTACCTTAAAAAAATATAGACACATATCTAAAGAATTCCTCTCTAATATTAGAAATGATTGATTTAACTCTGAACCTAATTACGCTTTGATGCTTCTATATTGTAATTTTTTTTCGTTTAATATGTTATGAATACATATGAGTCTAACTCTTGACAAATTTTCAACTTAAAGGTCCTAAAATTACAGCTAAAAAACCAAAAAAACAAAAATTTTGCCTCCCCCCCCAGGGGAGTGGGAAATGGGTATATTTAAAATTTTTAAGAAGTGTAAAAACAGCAACCGGTATAAAGTTAGAATACTACGCAGTGATAGTGGACTTGAGTTCGTAAATAAAGATGTCACATCGTATATTACAGACATTTGGGATACAATACCAGAGAAGTGTTGGCTATGGAACAAAACGGACGGGTGGAACGTAACAACCGTACTATCGTCGAGGGCGCAAGGACATTAATTTATTCCAAAAATTTGGATGTGTCATATGGGCAGAAAATGTCAACACAGTGGTAGACACTCTATACTAAACGGGTACGAGTTCAATTAAAGATAAAACGCCACAGTTATATTTAAATAATACACCAAAAATTAATCATTTAAGAGTTTTTGGTACACAAGTTTTTGTCCATATACCAAAACAGAAAAGGCGAAATGGGACGCTAAAAGTAAACTTGGCCGATGAGCTCAAATATTTGTACAGGACTAAAATCCAATTATTTTAATTGTAAGTAGGCATAGTTTTGTCAGGCTTTTAGGTCTAGATTGGTTTCTTGTAGAAACAAAATGGCATTTTTTATAGAAAAAATTGTATAAGTTAAAAATAGTTTCTTGAGGCTTATACAAAATAACGGGAAAAGAAATTGACGTAGCTGAAAATGATTAAAACCACTTATTACTTAAATAATGCCTATATAGAACCTATTCCTTTCCAACTTCCTGAATTTTATCTCTTTAAGGATATCGTTGAGCAATCGATATTTCCTAATTTGTATAAAATGCCTAATTTAGCATTCTCTATACCAATTAGAATTGTATATTGTAAAAGGTTCTATTCAGTAAAGCTTTGCATCCATAGCTAAATTCACTTAGTGATGTCACAAGTATTATACTATTACTTATTTTATTTTGACTACACGAGGGGAGAGGGGCAGGGGAGTGATTGAAAGTATTTTGGAAAAAAACAGCTGGGACTGTAGCCGATGCTGTGTGAGATATATTTCAAACATAACACTATAAAAATAGCCTGAAAAACTATGTAATTACTAATCTTTTTTTTTTTTTTTTTATGAACGTTTATTATTATAATATTTACAATCTATACTATATTATGTACAATAAGTAAATTTACTGGAAGAACAATGACAATGACAGGGCGGCGAGGAGGAGGCTTACATTAGAACCACCTGTACATACAAATTTAAATTACGTTAATTAATTTACATTGAGTAGGTCCCTTGACCAATAGTGTTTGAGGCGTCTGTTTGGATTACCCGGAAGTGTTTTTGAATGCAGATGGGTGACAAGTCGGTTTGGATGGCATTGCATTTTGGAGTGTAGACTTAGGTAGAATATAGATGCTGTCTTTTTGACTGTTGCGATTTTGAGGTCTTCGTGAAGAGAGTTGTTTGTGACGTACCACGTGCCTTTTCTGACCAAGAGGAGACATATGGACTGGAACGGATGAATTGTCCTGATGTTTGAGTATTTTGCGGTACCCCAAAGAGCAATGCCATAAGACCATATTGGTAGAAGGAGGGTTTTCTATAAAAGTTAAACGGTTAGAAATATTCAGATTGGACTGAATGACTAGTATTTAAATTTATATAGTAAGCCAGTGTCAAACGCCTGCGCATCGTCAAGGAATAATGCTGAGCAGTATTTTCTGGTTTCGAGGGAGGTAGCAATAAGATCTACTACTCTGTGGAATTGATCAAAAGTAGCATGTTTTGGACGAAACCGAAATGAAATTCAGGTATGGCGTTTTCCCCTTTAGCTATTGTACGTTATATCATAAACTTTAGAAGTCGTTCGTTAGATGGTTAAACATTTTTGTATATTTAATATGATGTTTTATTATATATAAACAATACATACAATTTGAAATAAATATTTTTTACATAATATATCTATTTAAGCTAATGTTTGTGATGGAGTCAGAGAGTAATATTAAAACAAATATAATTGCAAGTTTAAAGAATAAATTTCATTGAAATTCCAGATGAAAAATGTTAAAATTAGTCTAAGATGTTATAAATTATGTACTAGTCGACCAAGGATTTTTTTATACAGGGTGATTTAATAGTTATTTATAATAGTAATTTCATATTGACTGGTTCATGATAAAAGAATAGCCCTGCATATAAAAAAAAATGAGTTTTTTTTTTTATGTGATAATCCAATGTTTGTATAATCCATCTTAACATCCAAACATTTATATTAATTTATAAATATTCCACAAGAGATGGGATATATTCTGAAAATCTTAAAATATTTTTTTTTCTAGACATTTATAAAACTTCATTCGGAATACTAACAATTGTCCTAGAATTTGAATTACTCAAGTAAAATATAAATGGACCCAAAATACAATAATAATCAAAATCGTTTTAACGTTGGAGACTACAAATAATATAACTAGGTCGATGATAAAAGATGTTGTTTTTGTTTTTGAATAGTTGGTAATTTAGTACATTGGTGTATGACTGTAACTGTTTGGACAAGCATACAAAACAACACATTTCAATAAATAACACCACCTAAAGCGTGTTTTCAATACGTTGCCGTTTATGAAAATATTGATAAAGCCATTTAAGATTTTTTTAAAGGTTTGTACATGTGAATATAAAAGTAATATAGTAACATTATTCACGACCGGATGTAGACATTTTTAGGTGCCATAAGACCAATTGTAGGAATATGGATAAAAATAAAATACAATACAGAAAAAATAATCAATGTTTTCATAATAACTTATAGTTTTTTTATTATTATATAAATAATAATTTTATGTATTATATACGTATTTAAAATGTTCTCATTTCTGTAATTCTGCCTAAAGGTATACAACACATTTGTGTCTATATCGAATGTGTTTTTTATAATAAAACTTTAAGGTCTTTTATATACTTACGCATTTAATAGTTCAAAAAATATGTTCGTTTCTACAACCATGGAGCTTTTTAATGTGTATTATTATTTGAGTACATCGGTGTTTTCATACCGATACGAATTTAAGGTAAATAAGACAAAAAAAAAATATTACTAACTGTGTGTTATTTGTTGTTTTTATAATACACTTCGCATTTCATACGACAAAAAATCAGAGCATAAAATAAAACCTATAACATTATGGAAACGTTTGGAAACCCAAATTTGGGTCTCTGGTTAAAGAAATCTGTACAAGTTAGAAAATAATCGTTTCACTCGTTAGAATGTTTCAAAAAATCAAACCCAATAGAATTAGGTTGAGTAATAGTGGGGAAGGGAGGTCATGGGTATCAGAAATTATTATAGCTGAAAGTGATAAAATAGTTTTTAAATAAACACTTCGATGCGAATCAATGGACTACCGGTTCAAACCGGTACAGTCCAAACTAAGCATAGTAAGAAAATATCATATGTAAGTAAGTGAATAGTAGTAAGTAGTAGTAGGTAGTAGTAGTAGTATGTGAGTAAGTAAGAGGGGTTAACAGATAAAAATAAAAATATCGAGAAATGAATTATACCTAATGACAATTATTTGCTTAAAAATTAATTTTTAGTTTAAGGGTTGATACGATTAGAGGTGATCATCTGTCTATAGAAATGTATTGCTATAGTAACCCATATATCGTTGTTAAAATATAATAAAATATTTCCATTGCCTGTTTACTCATTCACACAATATAGCAAGTGTGTGAGTAGTCATGGAAATTGGCTACGGTTAAAGTGTAATTCTCCCTTATTTTGGGATTTTCCTTAATAACGAAAAAGTTTGATCACAGAT